TTGGCCGAATGATTCCCCATATGTCCTATGTGAATTTTTCTTCCTACCATACATCAATTTCACACTTACTCATACTTAATTCATTTCTTTAACATTAATCTAACTTGATTTACTAAATATTAAGCATGCTAACCTAATTTAGTATTAGGATAAAATGCATAAAATTTTCATATTAATCACCTTTAATCTCTCTAATTTTCTCATGTAATTCATTTACTAACGACCATACATGCATTAGGTTTTAATCCTAATGACACCAAGTTGGCCGAAACTTCCCCTGGACTCGAGCTAGGTGAATTCTTCATTTTAAGTGCTAATTCACATACAAACCCACTTAATTATTGTAACTCTCTCATTTAATTGATCTAACAATAATAACATATGGATTAAACTTCTAATCCTTAATTTCTCTAATTTAGTCGAATGTAAACCTAGCTTAAGCTACGTGAATTTTTCAATTCTAATGTTAATTCACATGCTATGTCATTTAATTACATCTAGGTAACATGTATTCTATCAATTAAACATAAGTAAGATTCATAAACCCTAAAATTTTCCTAAATGGCTAAAACTTTCCTTTTGGTTTAAGCTAGATAGTCTTTCATTTTGATCACTTATTTACATACTTAATTAATCTAATTCATCATCAATTTCAACACTTAAATCATTTTCTCGAATTCATATGTTCAAGAACCACGACTCTAGTTAATTCGATTCAACCAATCAAACTAGAATCAATTGTTCTAACCTAACAATTCTTACATCAATAATACACTATTTCATTAATTCAAATTACTAACATTAAATTCAATCCAACAACCTCATAGTCATACACTAATATCAAACATAACAACTTTGTAGCTTCATAAATTAACTCAAAATTAATTAAGTTCATGTGGTGTAGTGAAAACCATACCTACCTAATTTGCTCCTTAATTGTTTTCTACTTGAAATTTATGAATTTCTTCCTTACTTTTCCACTTGGAACTTTCGGCCTACCCTCTCTTCTCCTTCTCCTTGTTTTTTTTTTTTTTTATCTTCTAATTTAATTTTTTGATGTGTTTAGGTAGTTTGGGGTGTATTGATAATTAAATTTGGTGTGAGTTTAGGTGTTTTTAGGCTTAATTTTTGGTAGAGTTTCTCCTTGCTTATTTAAGTGTTCATCACCCTCTTCTTCTCCCTTGCATGGCTAGATTTATAAGCCTTAAAATTCATAATTTTTAGTTGAATTTTCCTAGGAATTATCCTAGCCTTCCATTTGGTTTAATCTAAAGGTTTCTTAATTAATGTATTTCCATTCTTTTAATAAAGCTAATTGGATATTTTTTACTCAATAATTCACCCTCACAAGTGGCCGGCCATCAACAATTTTGATGGCCAAAAGTTCATTTTGGTCCCTTTATTTATTTAATTAATTAAATTAGGTCCTTATAATTTAATCCCTAAACTTTTATTTTTATCAATTAAGCCCTAAAACTAGGCTTTCTAATTGTTTCTATAGTCTCTATATTATGTTTATGAATTAAATTAAATACATAAGCTTGATTTTATTCAATTAGGTCCTTAAGATTTTGCAATTAAGTCCCTATGTAGGCATAATTAATTCTACACATTCCAATTAAATATTTTCTTTTTAGAATATATCCATGCACTTATCAAAGGAATTTATTCAACTATCATATAATTTTTATGCATGCATAGAGGCACTCTAAATAATTATTTTCACATAATTGCATGTATTTTTCACATAAATGTAGATAAAAAATTTACACAACAAAAAAAATTTGAGTGCACATAATATATATATATATATATTGATTATTCTATGGTCATAGAAAATATTTTCATGCATATAAAATATTATTTAGCTAATTTTCTAGGTATAAGGTGTTATAGAGGTTTCTAAAGCGAGTACCTCTATTAAAGACTAAACCCAAGTTTGTGGAATATTTCAAATACCTAAAAATCCATTTCACTGTTTGTTAGTGTAACTTCTCTAGATGAGCCATATACCTGCACCTAACACTAACTACATGGATAATGTCTAAATGGATATAGATCATAGCATAGGTAATGATACCACTTGCATTGGAATATAGGACTTGAGACATTTTTCTTCTCTCTAGCTTCACTCTAAGGTTAATGTAAAGCCAAAAGCCTAAAATGAAAGGCCAAAGGTGTACTGATGTGTTTGGCCTTTTACGTACCAAAACACTAAAGTACTTTCTTAATATATCTCTTATATGAAAGATATAATTTTCTAACATTTCGTTTCTTCGAATGTCTATCCCTAAGATCTTCTTTGATGCACTAAAACTATAAAAAAAAACTATGGATTTAGCGATGGAAATTTCCCTCGCTAAATCTAAAATTTTTATCATTATTTTTATTTAGCAACAAAATGACAATAAAATAAAATCATTAGTAAAACGTTTATCACTAATGTTTTTAGCAATGAAATTAACATTCCATCGTAAAGTAGCAACAAATATTTTGTCACTATATTGATGTATTTCTATTATTAATTCACTAAAAATAGTTGTTTTGTAATTACTCTTTCTTTGATTTTTGAAAACTAGGGTGATATTATCAAGTAGTTTATGCTTTTTCAATCCATATATGATTTTTTATTATCCTTTTAACTCTGGAAGAGGGTCTTATAGGGAAGATCATAGAATTTCCTCTAGAGATCGACATTATGAGTTCTTCATATGGGGGCCTCTATAGCCAAATATTCTAATAGTCCATCCACTTCCAATATTTTTTTATGAAAGCAAAAGAGATAAACCCAGGTGCTTTCTCCCTCTCTTTGTGTAACAAAGAATAAATTGGTGGAGTTTCTATTGATAGAGATGTTGGTGGAGAAGTGGATGATGAGCTTGGAGCATATGTCCTCGAAGCTAAGTATAGATTAAGATCAAGATTGTTGTACCACTTCTTTGCCACTCATCTTAAAATAGTGAGAAAGATTTTACACATGGCACTAGTATTTGGAAGTATCAATTCAAGATTACTTTTGATGTTTTACACATGCTCTCATGGATCGATCATGCCTCCTTATGCTAAATTCATGTTTGAGGAGATGAATTCCCCTAGGAGTTTGGTGTTTAAAATGTCAGGAGAAAATAAAGAGGCTTGAGTTCCATGATGGTAATAGTTTGGCTCTAATAAGCATATGATGGTGGGTTTCCTACCCATTTGTGTGCATTTGGGTTTAAAGCTCATCGATGCTATTTGGGAAGGTGAGTTGTTCTGATGGGCATCCTTCCTTGTGGTCCCTCTTGCTTAGGAATTTGAAAAAAAAAATTCATGAGTTAATAAAAAAAGGCTTAATTAAAAATAGTTATAGTCCTCACTCTAGTCCAGCTTTTATAGTAATAAACCATATATTACAAGTAAGTGAAAAAGTAAGAACGATTATAGACTGTCGTTTTCTTAATAAAGCAACAAAAGATGATGGCTATAAGCTTTTCATTGCTAAAGATATAATTGATAGGTTAAGATTAATGAGACCATCCATTTTGACCTTTCCTCCTCCCTTTCTCTCACTGTTCCTCTTCTCTTTCTCTCTCCCATCTAAATTTCTAAATTATGGGTTGTTTGTCACTATAATGAGATTGATTCCTTTAGGGGTTACAGGAGCATTTGCTTTTTCTCTTCTCTCCTCCATTTCATTTTTCCTTGCTTCCAATGTAAGGGTGTTTTGTCCATGTGCATTTTAGTGAGGAGGCGTTGGAGGCTCTTCACATGGTTGTGTCAACAGAGGCATTTATATCACTAACAATGAAGTAGTGAACAATGAAGTAGTGAATGTTCTGATTTGCACATACGTAGTTATGGATGTCTATGTCAACTTTGAATTTAGTGTTGTAACTAGAGAAAGATCATAGGTTGTGCACTCAAACTAGCAAAACCTATCGTTTCACCTTGGTTTGGTGTTTTTTGATTTTCAAATATGAAAAATGCTTGGAGATCACATGGTGAGTTAAAGACTGGCTTTTAGTCTATTTTTAACATACGACGCCACTGATAAGGTCATGAACCTCATATGAAGATGTGTGATGAGGTTGCTTTTTTTGGCTAGTCCGGTTATGGAATTGAACACTGGAAGGTGATCAAGTTAACTGGTATACTTGCACAATAATTCCCCTTTTATTGTTTAGAGGATCTTCTGATGACTAAATTAATGTATGGAGGGAGGCAATATCCTGAGAAGGTAGTAGTAATACAAGTATGTAAAAGCTACGAATAGTGGTTATTGGTTGAGAGATTCAGTACCTAAACCCTTAGGTCCATCTGCTTATATATACAATAGCTTTTGTCGAGTTGCATGGAGAATATAGTGGCAATGGAGTTGGCATTAGTTAAATAGAACTGATGAAGTTGCACGTTTTTATTTAATAGATGCATAAATTTTCTTTTTTAATTAATGGAGCTGCGGCATCTAATTAGAGGAAAAATATCTTTAATATTAACATGACACAGTTGGGAGAATATGATAACATTGGAGTTGGAATTAGTTAGATAGAACCGATGAGGTTACACTTCTTCATTTAATAGATGCGTGAACTATCCTTTTCAATTAATGGAATTAGGCTTAGTCTTCCAGGTTTGTCGTCCGAGCTGAGACCGTCTAGTAAGGTCCTAGGAATAGTTTAGTAACGACTGATTTCATGCCTTTGCCTTGGGTAGAGTCTTGTCTTGTTAGCCTTTCTTCTAGGTGGGGTCCCCTAACTTACTAGAGGTTATATGTTGAGCCGCGTCATACGAGTATTATCAAGAATTACTAAAGGTTTAATTTTTAATGTTTAATTTATTTTCATAGTTTATCTATAAATAAAACAGATATTCATGATAAAACTTACGAGTTTTCTTCTCCGTAAAGGAAGAGATACTTATAAAAAGAAAATTTCTTTTAAAATAGTACACAGTGACTGTCATTGAATAAGAAAACTTGCAAAATATATTATAATTATAATCACGCACAAAATCCTTTATTCTCAATTAATTATTACAGTGCTCTTAATTATATTCTTTTTGTTTTTCTTCGATGGAACCTTAGGTTTCTTTCCTTTATTCTTTTTCTTCTGTTCTTTACCCTTAGGCTTCTTTTGCTTTGTATTATCGGCTTTTTTGCTGGGAGGTGAAACCTTGGCTTTCGTTGAGGGACTTGGGACAGTTGGTTTTTTTTTTGGATTGAAAACTCTACAATTTTTCCTCACTTCTCCTTCATTTCCAACAAGAACCCCAATGCTCCCCATTTTCATCATTGCATTTCCAAAACTCTGCTTAAATCCATTCCCATCTCTGGCAAAACGTGAAACGAAACCAGAGGTAGAGGCATGTTGGGCAAGTTCCTGGTCAATCTGCATTATTCCTCTCTTCAAAAGGAGCTGTTTGTAGAACTCGTTATCAACAGCAAAACCTGTTCCTTGGTCCAAAAATACAGTAGGATCAGTATTTGAATGGGCACAAATACTACTCAGTTTGGCAGCTAACTGAGCATCCATTGAAGGATCATTTTGAAGCCGTTCACTGAAGAAACTACAATGTGCAACACCAACTGTATGCGCACCTAAAAGGGTCACCATTTCATCAAGGGTTAGACCTCTTGCTTTAAAAAATTGAAACGCTTGAGACACAGTCACTTGTGGTCCAGGCAAGTTCACATCACCCGCTTTGGACACTAGCCCATCACGCCTTCCTGTAGGCACAGTGTAGTTCGGTCCTCCAGCAAGAACTACAGCATCTCTGGTTGCAACTGTTATGATGTCTGCGCAGGAGACTTTTGAAGGGCATTTAGCCTCTAGGGCTTTCTTGATCTCATCAATAAGCTTGTATTCACGGACAGTCTGGTTTGGTCCTGCATCTTTCTCAGCTTGGTTTTGGCTTGTTGAATCTATAAGAATTGATGCATCACATCCCTACAAGAAGAGGCTGCTCATGTTATCTTTAATGAAGCATGTATATAACAGAAAATACGCACGTATTAGCAAATTCATTTCCTAAACTTTGTAACGATACCAAGAAAAGGCAGAGTTTATAAAACTACTTAGTTAAATGATCTATAGCTCTACAAAGTAAGAAAATCCTACTCTAACGAAGCAATCATGAAATTGCATGCGAAGCAAGGCTGCGGTTACTGATTTATCGGTATTGAGCCGCTTTTGCACTGCTTGAAATATGATAGATTCTGCTTCAGGGCAAGTTGGTTTGTAAAAACCAACTCTTAGATCGGCTAATACAGCAGGAAGAACGAAGAGAAAGAGCAGAAATGAAATTTTCGTTCCCATTTTTGCATATAAAATACAAGAGGAATTCTTGAACTTTCCAGTTTTAGCTATGGAGCTGACAGACATTTTGAGGGTATTTATAAATGGAGAGATACAAACAGGGGCGGTACGAACGTGTGGCTTGAGGGAGACATGACTCCCACTAAAAAGTTTTGAAAAAATTCATTTGAAAGAACATGATTTTTTAAACTAAGATTTTTCAATGGCTGTACCTTCCGGAGCGATACGTGCAAACAACAAAAGAGGCCCTTGTCATCATGTGAATAGAATAACTCATTGCACTGAGTACTTAATAACTGAAATTTTTTTGTCAAACTCATATATATTTATAATGTTTAAAAATTTATTTGATAAATATCAGATTTTTTTTCCCCGATTATTTGTCTAGTGTTAACTGAACGTCACATCATGTGATGGCTTAAAAACATGATGACATGTTGCTCTCTAATCTAACCACTTTATGTTTATTTTTTTCTTTCCCAATCCTAGATTATAAATTTCCAAAATCAATAAAACATAATTTATAGATCGTAATCAATCGAATTCTTTGAAAACAATCTTTACAAAAACTCAATCTGGAGATTTCTGATACAGATTTTGTTGAATGTGGTGCTATATATAAGAACAAGAAAACAGGGATTAAAGTAGAGAGATAGAGAACGATCCTTTTTTTAATTTTGATTAGGATGAAAGAACACTATATATGTCTACAATAGTGTCGAGGAAGAGATCATTCTTTGAAGAATTGATTGCTCCTACCCCGCCAGTGTAAAAAAGAATCAGTTGTTCTTCTTCTTCTTCTAACTATACATGCATGCATGTATACAATTTAACAAATCTTTAATTCTTCACAACCTTTTGTCAAAATTTGAATAAGGGCGTACATCTGTAAAAGTAAAGAATAAAATCTCAACTTCGAATAGTCAAACCCTTCGAGTTTCATATCAAGAAAAACAAAAAATTATAATCTTTTTTCTGATTTTGAAATTTAGAGCTGTAGAATTAACAATGAATGTGTTTTGGTCATTCACTCATCCTTGAATGATCATGTGTGGTTGGAAGGGAACAGGCTTGCACGTTGATAAATGCAACGATAATTATTTGCCTATTTTCACGGAATATAACTATAAATTAATAAAAAAGCTGTAGGAAGTAATTTTATGCTCAAATTTATTTTTATAGAGTTGACGAATCGTGAGTATCTAGATGATTCTCAATATGTGGACGCAATTTGATTATCATATGTTAAGACTAGAGCTGCACTGTCGGTTCAAAGAAAGAGAAAAAGGAGAAAATAAATTAATTTTGCTGTAGTTGTCTCTTTTATGCTGGAGCAAAATAATCAGGCCCAAAACCAGATGGCTAAAACAGATAATTCCTCATACGAGTTGTTGTTGTTGTTTTTTCTATATATAATGATTCCTCGTATGCATTCTTTAGGGAAAAAAATGAAAAAATTCGGCAACTATACAGTGCTTTAACCGAGGGATAGAAGTGATAATTAAAGAAAATGTATTCTTATTTTTTGTATTTTCTTACTGTGCTTCTTTTATTCTTAATTTTTTTTCCAGTGCATCTGTCTATTAAAATTATCTGACAAGTATTACTAGGGTTTTGACTTGTTTCAAGAGTTTGTTTTTGCTAGATTTTCAGGTTGTATTGATTGTGGTTGTTAATTTTGGATTGTTGAATGCTTATGGATTAATTGGTGCTTATGGAATTCTATTTGTAATTGTTTGAATTGAATATTATCGAGTTGTTTGTTGTTAGTTTTAGCTTAGGTAAATTTTAGGCTTCTGCATTCAACGTGAGTGTTATTTTCACATGATCCATGTCAAAAATAGATGAAGGAAGCCCAAAATAATTTAGAGTTATGCCCACAAAAGAAAAAAACATACCTAATTCAAAGGGCATGAGAGAGACATCCTCTTACTAAATGATTTTAATAGGGAAGGTATGTTCATTAAATGAACATTCCTATCTCTCAATCGTTGGTTCTAACTTCAAACTCTGAAAGATGGGTCTTTATAAAGTTCATACTAGGAAAGGAGGCTAGAAAACTCCATAATTTGTGTAGTTTTTTCTTCACAATATTTTTCTCTAGGATTTTAACCTAATGATCTCTAAAGTCTAGCTTTACAATGTCATTAACAACAGTCTTAAAATCTTTAGCAACCTCTATTGTAATGATTAGATCTAGGTCAATTATAACACCATTGAATGCTTGACCTGGTATTTTTGTATTTGAGTTTAGAGGTGTTTCTTGGGAAAATTCTAGCTCACGGGTGGAATTCATAGATGTTGTTTCTCAAACAACAACAGGATCAACATTTTGGAAATTGAAAGGCGTTTTAGATAGATATTGTGCTTGCTTTCACTTATTCCTCACAATTGCTTAGAAAGCATATTTTTGGATCTCCAAAGTATCCAGGCTCAAAGACCTAAACTTGTTGTTACCCGATATTTAGGAGACTTCCAAAAAAATATGAATATAGGCTAAGGGGAAAGAATTAAGAATATATTATGGAGTCGTCACCTAGCATTAAAAAAAAAACTAAGAAAACTAAAAATGACATTAGCTCAAAGATTCTAAAGTAAAGAGTTGGTTATGCTTTTGGAGAGATATCAATTACTCAAAGACACATTTTCAAGAAAAGGTATCACGTCTAGTTTAATCTTAAAACTTTATCTCTTAAAAGTTTATATTTTGGCCAAATTATTTCTTAAGTCAATTTTCAAGTTTATTACCAAAGCCAAATTATTTTTTTTCATTTTTGTTTGTGGCATTATATTGAACCCTTATCGAACCGCATCGTCGAGAGTCTCGTCAATTCAACGTTGAATCCAATTTAAGTCTCGAGATAACTAGTATGTCGAAGAACGCCCTAATTACTAAGATGGTTAATCTGAATTAATTAATAACGTTCGTCCCAATTGGATATGAGATTCATTAAATTAGCTTAAAACTCCTTCTTTCTTTTTGTTCTTTTTCCTAATTAAACTAAAGGGGTTTTTTTTTTGTTTTGCACTTATCCTATAATTCTTTTCTTTTTATTTATTATTTCGTTCTTTCTTTTTTATGTCAGGTCGAGGCCAAACATCAATCCCTATTCAAATAAGATACTCGTTAGGTCGACTTACATTTTTCTAATTACTCTAAATAAGGAAAAATACTCTTATTACTTTTTTTTAGCATTTTTATTATTAGATAAGATATATCAAGGCCACTATCTATCTCTATAAATAGGAGACTTGTTGCTCGATATTACAACTAAATGAAAATCCACATATTAAGATAAAATTTACAACCGAAATATTTTTATATTTTCTAACACACCTAAAATTAAATAATTATCACAAAAATACATAACAAAAAAAAAAGTATGAGAAACAAACCAAATGGTCACTAAAGAGGGACCAAAATGACCTTTTTTTTTTTTTTAATGATAGAATTGCCCCTAGTGTAAAAAATGACCAATTATTGTGTGGACCACTCCACCGTTTAGGGGACACCCATGCGGATTGATAGTACCGACGGTGACAACCACCTCTATCCGAGTGAGGAGATCGATGGTCGATAAGTTTTGGCCGATCTCCTCCTTGTACTTTGATCAATTTTGAACATATTTAATGGCTTTAAATCCTCAAAATTGGACCAAAACAACCCCTATGACATTTTGCAAATTCATTTTGGTTGTTGGGTGGTCCGATTAGGTTGAAAAAATATGGAAGAAAAATGGGTTACAAATCACAAGTCACCTAAATCCGAATTACGGCCTTCTTCCTCCTTCCTTCATCTTTTTTTTGTCAATTTCGTTAGCAGAGAATGGTTCTTGAAGGCTAGGGGAGCAATTCCGTAATGGTGGCTACCGTTTATATAGATAAAAAAGGGTCAATTTAGGAAGAATTTGTATTCGGATCTAACGAGTCAAGAAACGAAGTCGAGCTCTGCAACTTCTCCTCCAATTTTTTATCACCTATGATGTCTTTTTCCTCTCAAATTTGTTAGAAATGTTCGATCTAAGTGTGGGCTAAAAGTTTATGATGGTCGTTGGAGGTGGAGTTAGTCGATTTGGGAGAGAAACTTCGACAAGTCCGGTGGGTTGACCAGTGGGTGGGAGGGTTTAGTCTTGGGTTAGGGGCTATTTGGTTTTCTCTTCTTCTTTCTTTTTTTAGGATGGCAGATTCTTTTGGTTTTTATCTACCTTGTGATTATGTGAATGTAATTTTTTTTTTAAGAGATGATGAATAGTATGGTTTCTAATTGGAACTCGCAAACCCTAATTACGAAATTGCGGACTCTAATTTAAACGTGCAAACTAATTTTGATTTTTTTGATTTAGTTTTATATTAAAAAAACATCAAAAAAATATTATTAGAATAATTATTAGAGTACATAAAAAATTTAATTTAATTTATTAGAATTCATTACTAGAATTTCGCTAATTAACGACGGATATACGTTCGTCGCCAAATAGAAAGCAAATAGCGACAGAGTAGAGACTCGTTTGAATCAAAGATGGAATAAATACGGAATAGTGATGGTTTATTAGCGAACAACATCAATATGTTGCTAAATTCTGCGAGTAAAATATTTTTGGAAGTTTTAGAGACGGTTTAATGACAGATTTACTAGAAAAAATAGCAACGAAATAGCAAATCCATCGTTATTTTAAATATCACAATTTAGTATTGGATATTCCATCGCTAAAGGACACATCCCTCGCTATTTAAAATGAGAAAATTCATCATTAAAGGTAAGAATTGGAGAAAAATTAGACAAACTTTTTGAGAGATAAAATCGCCCGAGTTTGCAATGGATTAACGACGACACTTACTTTCGTCGCTATATGTGAAAAAATAGAGGCCGGCTATGCAAGATTAGTCGATGTTTTGATATGGATTAGTGACGGACATAAGTGTATGTAGCTAAATAGAGACGGATCGATAAGGGGATTGTGTTTGTCGCTATTTTTCAGCCATAATTTAGCCCTATTCTTATTCCTCCTCCTCTCCATCCCTAACCACTCGTCGATGTTCCCCTACCCCCTCGCAACCCCCATAAAAATTTACTCCTCCTTTCTCAATCGATCCACACTCACTCGCAAAGTCATTTCTCCCAAAAAAACCTTTGTTTTTTCTTTTTTCTTCGTGGTTTAATTTCATTCGAATTAGGAAAGTTTTTTCTTCCTTTTATTTTCTTAATTAAAGTTAGTAATTTGTTGTAACTTTTAGGTTAATTTTATTTTCATTACTTGATTTACGATTGTGCATATATTTAATTGTTATTTTATTGATTTATTTGTTAAATTGTTAATTTTTGTTAATTGTTAGGTTAATTAGTTGACTAATTTGTTAACTTGTTAAATTTTGTTAATTTTTTGGTTAATTAGTTAGTTAATAATAATTTAAAATTAATCAAATTTATTTTCAATTATTTAATGTAAATTTAGATAATTAATTAAAAATAATTATGTTAATTGGTTGAATTAGACTAAATTTGTTAATTAATTATAATTTAGTCAATTAATTATTTAATTTTTCTTAGTTAATTTATTTTAATTTATATTCAATTATTTTTTTTAATTATGTGTAATTAGTTTAATTATAAGTTTATTTATATTAGAAATTTTTAATTAATTATTATTTTAAATTTAATTTGGTTATATTTAGAATTAATTAAGTTAATTAAATTTATATTTAATTTTTTAATTAGGTTAATTATTTTTAATTGGTTGAATTAAAAATTTAATTATATTAGAAAATTTTAATTAATTTTTATTTTAAATTTAATTTTTTTTAGAATTAGAAATAATTAAGTTAATTAGATTTATATTTAATTAATTAATTAGGTTAATTTTCTTTAATTGATTGAATTAAAAATTTATTTATATTAAAAATTTGAAGTTTATATTTATTTTAAATTTAATTTGGTTAGAATTAGAATTAATTAAGTTAATTAGATTTATTTTTAATTAATTAATTAGGTTAATTTTATTTAATTGGTTGAATTAAAACTTCATTTATATTAGAAATTATTAATTAATTGTTCTTTTAAATTTAATTTGGTTAGAATTAGAATTAAATAAGTGAATTTGGTTTATATCTAATTAATCAATTAGGTTAATTTTGTTTAATTGGTTGAATTAAAACTTTATTTGCTTTGAAATTGTTAATTAATTGTTATTTTAAATTTAATTTGGTTAGAATTAGAATTAATTAAGTTAATTTGGTTTATATTTAATTAATTAATTAGGTTATGGATATTTAATCAATTAGGTTAAGTTTTTTAATCGATTGAATTAAAACTTTATTTGTATTAGAAATTGTTAATTAATTGTTATTTTAAATTTAAGTCTGGTTAGAATTAGAATTAATTAAGTTAATTTAGTTTATATTTAATTAATTAATTAGGTTATGGATATTTAATCAATTAGGTTAAGTTTTTTAATCGATTGAATTAAAACTTTATTTGTATTAGAAATTGTTAATTAATTGTTATTTTAAATTTAAGTCTGGTTAGAATTAGAATTAATTAAATTAATTTGGTTTATATTTAATTAATTAATTAGGTTAATTTTTTTAATCATTTGAATTAAAACTTTATTTATATTAAAATTTATTCATTAATTTTTGTTTTAGATTTAATTTGATTAGAATTAGAATTAATTAAGTTAGTTTGATTTAAAATTAATTAATTAATTATGTTAATTTTCTTTAATTTTTTGAGTTAAAACTTTATTTATATTAGAAATTATTAATTTTTGTTTATTTTAAAATTAATTAGGTTAGAATTAAAATTAATTAGTTTAATTATTTTGTAGATAATTATTGAAGTGTATCAAGATATATCGTAGTGTATCAAACCGGAGGGGTTGGGGACCCCGAGAGTTGAGTAGAAATAAGGTTGATTCAATACTTTACGATAGAGCTAGAATGATGAGTTTGGGATTGAATTTAGATGGAGTATTCAAAACAATTGTTGGTTTCGATGTACTGCAAATTGATTGTTGATTGATTTAATTTATTGTTGATGTGATCATTTGAAATATTTGTTAATTGGAGAAAGTGCAATTTACAGAGAAGACTCTATGGAAATTTTATTAGATGTTTAGAAAAATTATTAATTAAATAATTTTTTTATGTTAATTATGCATTTTGGACATGTTGAATTTTGTTTTTTTTTTTAATTTATAATAATTTATAATATATTTTTTGTCGAATTTTTATTCATTTGTTAAATAGTTTCAAGTTTTATTCTTGAGTGATGTCTTGTGGATTGGACAAATTTGGTCACGATGTCGGTGGTAATGACTCGATATTAACCGTGCAACCGATAGTGATGTTGTACGTGAACGTGACACTACTAGTCCAACCGCCCAAGGTCGTAGACTTGATAGCGAGTGCTAGCATATCCGCATCCCTTCCAATAGTGCCCCCACCGGTAATGCCCTCTACAGTGGATGATCCCACTATGGTTTCCTCAACTTCAAGAAATCCTACTTGGATCAACGAGATGATGGACGGACTATTTGGGTTATGAATAACCGATAAGTAATATGTTTTGCATAAGATAATTAATTTTATATTTTCATACATTATATTAGAATCATTAATTCACTTATTTATTATTATTTTTATTCGACGAGTTTGGGTTCCATCGGGAAAATGCTCTATAAAAATCATCATAATTTTCAAGGAGCGATTAGACGTCGTTGACTCCACGTAAAAGTTTGTCTCCATGGAGAGGAAAGACTTCTACTTTAATGAGTTTAGGTAAGAATATTAATTATTTTCTTATATTCCATTTAAATTGTTAATTTAACATGAGAATTATTAATATTATTTTTTTCCTTCATATAGAAGTACTTTGTATGGGATACGACCGTCAATGCACTAATTAAAGATACGTGGGAGAGTAAGCACGAGAGATTGTACAATGACATGCTTAACAAGCTAAAGTATAAGGATAGCAAACCTATGTTTGTTAAACAAGAGGTATGAGAAACATGAGACTAGGATTGGGCCACTCTCGAGCATCGGACCCGATCTCAACAAGCATCTCAAAATCGCATATTAGAAATGGGTGGTGTTAAAGCCGGCCCATCCAAACATACTAAGGGTCCATCTCTTTGATCAAGCATACCGAGCATTTGATAAATACTATATTATCTATTGTATTATAAATTAATTTTTGCATTTATTTCATCTCATATTATTTTTTTTATGTTTTTTAGTATAATAAATTGGGTCATAAACCAAATCTTTACGAGTCGTTCGTGACTACTCACAAACGGAAGGATGGGACATTCATCATCGGGCAATAAAAGACAATAATGGCAAATTTTATATTTATTTTAAATATATGTACATTTAGCAATATAAGCTAAAAATATATATATATATGATTTAATATTGTTATTATTCCAATGACTTAAGAGCGTGTGCGATCAATGCAAGAATCGACTGCTAAGAAGCAATGCAAGAAGCATTGCGAAGAAAAGACATGAGGGTGATGTATCGTCTCAAGATATCGACATGTCCAAAATATATTTGGATTTTGTCAAAAGGGAAAAGAAGTAGAGAGTGTACGCAATTGGAACTTATGCATCCTAGTGTTACTTACATTCGGCTCCAACTTCTCCTCTACCACTTTGCGATATCCTAGTGGTAATATCTCCGGGGTTTTCGCCCATTAAGAAGATCAAATCAAAGGGATGGAGGCTCGTCATCCAACAACGGGCTAGTCAAATTAGCAGCAAATAGACTCGGTTGCAAAGAGTTATGAGATTGTTATAGACCCTCCAATCGCCTCTCGTGCCTCTTGTCGACCCTCCCACAACCCATCAATCGGCCATTCCTCTTAATGACCAACCGTCGAAAGATGATGCAAGAAATAGTGATAATGAGGACTAAATTTCTTTTTAAAAAAAAATATTTTAAATATTTTTGTACATTTTAAAGCATTTATAAATTTATTTTAATTTAATTTTATTAAATAATATATCATGTTTTAATAAAGTGTTGTTTATAGTTGTTTGTCGTTACAATTCTCAATAAACGACTATTGATTTTTTTTTCAAAAAAGCAAAAATTAGCAACGGATTTTGCGACGAAATATAGAGGGTAATTAGCGGGGGATACATATACGATCGCTAAATAGCAATGATTTAGCAATTGAATTATGAGAATATTAGCGACTATAATTTAGCAACAACCCATTTCATCGTTATTTAGCGACGGATGTAAGTGGAAATAGCAACGATTGCCAAGGGATAGGAGACATCATAGAAGATTGATTTAGATTGATTTAGTGATGAAAATTCAACTATTTAGCAACAGAATATCCTTTTTTGATTAGTGACGGAACAAAAATTCGATTGTTAAAAAAATTACAACCACCATATAAGCAACAAAATACTTATTGTCTTTAATCCGTCATTAATTGAATATAATGATATATTTTTTTCAAATAGCAACGGAAAAAATCCATCACTATTTAGCAAAATTCTAGTAGTGATTCGATTTGAAAGTTGAGGTTGTCTTACAAACTATTATCTAACCAATCATTTTATAAAGTCCTTGAGAATCATGACATGCACAAAAGAACCCCAACACCATGATAATCAAACTGCCGCATTAACTTCTTATCTCGTTCATCCCGGACAACATGGTTAGTTCTTTTTTCTTTTTTATGTGTGTGTGTTTTTTTTCTTCCTTTTCTTTAGGATCTAAAATGAGAAAGTAATGCGTCCCAAGTCAAGTTTTAATACATACAAGCAACAACCAACCAAGTAAGCGCTTAGTTGCATGGTCAAAACTAGTCGTATACTTACACATTACGCTAGTCGTTCTCCCGTTATGTCAAATTCGGGATTTTGGATGGTCTTACGGTTTAGATTACGACCATGCAATAAGCCAAGTACTTGTTTGTTTACATGTTTGCACTTTTTGTTCAAAATATTCTTCCGTGCAATTGTCTCATATTTGCAAACTCTCAAAGGAAGCATGGAAATTTTCCACCACTTATTTATTTATTTTTGGTTCTCTAGTCAAGCGATGAAAGAAACTCAAGCATATCATAAGACGTGACTCAAAATCTTTCACAAGATCAATATTACTTAGAGCATCTTCAATGCTCTCTTTATATTAAGATTTTTCTTTATAATAAAGAGGTTTGATCCAAATTTCATCTCCAATGCTCTCTTTATCATAATCTTTATCTTTAAAATTGATACGAGAGAGTGTCTTTAGCTCTCCAATACTAGAGAGTCCAAATGACTCTTTATCTTATATTTTATTAATGAAAATTACTATTTCATATGTCACTCAACCTCTTCACCAATAGTCTCTCCGGGTTTTATAGATTTTGTCAAAATAAAGAGTTAAGTAGAGAGTAGCATTAGAGCATCTCCAATGGTGCTCTTTACTTTTAGCTAGCATTTTTAATGTAAATAGAGAGTATCATTAATTATATAGATAGAAGATCAATACCCTCTCTAATGCTACTCGTATTTAACTCTTTATTTTGATAAAATCTATAAAACCCATAGAGGCTATTGGTGAAGAGGTTGAGTGGCATTGGAAATAGTAATTTTCATTAATAAAATATAAGATAAAGAGTCGTTTGGACTCTCTAGTATTGGAGAGCTAAAGACACTCTTTATACTAATTTTAAAGATAAAGATTGTGATAAATAGAGCATTGGAGATGAAATTTGGATCAAGCCTCTTTATTATAAAGAAAAATCTTAATATAAAGAAAGCATTGGAGATGCTCTTAAAGAAGATATTGATCTTCAATCTATATAATTAATGATGTTTTCTATTTATATTAAAAATATTAGCTAAAAGTAGAGAGCACCATTGAAGATGCTCTTAGTCCACATAATTGTGCTAAAAATGGCCTTAATTTTGAAAGTTATATTGATAAACATGCTGGAAACGTCATCGAGAGCAAAACAACATTCTAAAGGGTTTAAAAGCATCAATTTGAATCTGCTTTTATCTGTTTAATGATGATCAGAATGACTTTACTGCTTTATCTTGGAAACTACTGAGACCATTCTTTCCAAGGAGATGACTCATTAGGCACATATTTCATAGGAGTGGTGAATCATTCCTGCCATAGGATAAGGAACTTTTTTCTAGAAAAAAGAATGGATTATAAGCAAGGTTCAAAGATGAGCTTTATTGTTATTAAAGAAAGCATGTACTTGGGACATACATTAACTCAAAAAATAAAAGATCAAAAATTAAAAAATATTAAAAGAAGATAAAGAGGAGAAAAGTGACAAAAAGTTAACTCACCTCGTTCATAAAGGTTTTCCCCTATTGGAAATACTGACTGGAATAAGAAAGTGCATTTGATTACTTGAATCCATAGACAAAATTGACTTGCCTAGAGCAGATGCAAATCGGCAAGAAAGAAGGGAAATTTTATTTGATTGAGGATGGCTTAATATCACCCTCAAAGCTTTGTGAACATGCAAAAAAAAGGCAAGGAACGGTGAGTAGATGAAGTAAAAATTTTTGAGAGAGACTTATCATTAAACTGTCAAGAGTTAGACCAACTTTTCACAAATGAAGCAACCAGAGTGGAATCCCACACAATATAACGTGAAATTGTCCGTTGTGAGAGCTATGAACTGTGTGGTGTAAATGAACTGCGAGCCAAAAAGATGGCAAGGCTTGATTGAAATTCTAAAGGTATCGGCAGGTATTACAGCATGTCATGTATCTAAACAAGACCGGCTAATGCGATCTTTGCTTCCTGATTCTATCCCTTAAATGTGGCATCTTCGCCATGGCAATCTTAACCTGCATCACCTCTGGAATATCAACCTGGGATGTCCTGAAGAGCTCATAATCAAAACCATAATCACTATAAAGCAGCTACAAAATGATCCAAAAGGCCTTCTGAACTTCCATCACAGGTAGAAAGTTAAATCCTGGGGGTTGAATAATCTTTGATTTCTATCTCCAAATTATATGACCGATGCTATGTATACTTTTCGTTCATGAGACAAAAGAATTTCATTCTAGGAGCCCCAAGCAAGCTAAAAGAACTTCAGGTGAAATTTACTCAGAAGTCAGGAACTTAGATGAAGCCCTTACAAACTCAGCCCTCGGGCACCAAAAGATTCAGTAAACAAGTGCAAAATAGTACAACTCTAGAAGAGGTTCACCATCTGGTCGATGTGGTTGTGGTATAGCAAACAAGAACACAAATTACAGAATTTGAGGAAAGACACAACTTCAGAAAGCATTGGTTGTCTTCTAATGGATGGTGGCTTTAATTTATACACAAAAGCCAGAGCTTCATCTTATTCTTCTGCTGAATCTAAGCAGTGAGAGAGGTATGAGTGTATGAATTGAACCTAAAATAGACTGCAGACCATCACTACCACTCATTTAACAACCTCTATTATTTACAATGTTGACTTGAAGAGACGTGTTGACAGCACCAATGATTATGTTGCAGCATCTGATTCTGAAGAACTTGCCTTTCAGACTTCAATTAGTTCAGCAGGTATTTCTTTTGCACTGAAGGAAAACCGACATGGCATTCTCTCCGCAGAAAACAAGTCCCCATGGTATGCCTAGAAATCACGTGAGGCAGGTTCCTGATGCAAAATTTCAGCAGGTGTCCTTCAGCCACTCTCCTGGAATGTATGAGAGCGAGAAAGAGCTGCTGGGTTTGCTTCCAGTACATGAGTGGCATCAGATCCATGGCCATAGCCTTCAGCTTTGGTTTCAAAATTTTTGAAGATAGTACCTTTTGATGTGGGATCCTTCCGGTTAGGCGTAAGACCTAAGGTTCCCCATAAAGGACTCTTTGAAGCCTCACTTGGGTCATCGATTCTCAGTGTTTTTGGAACCAATATACATTTTTCTGCTCTGTTTTCATCCATAAATTTTGAATCTCTAGAATGCTTGCCTAGGGTTGGTGAGCCATTTCCTGAGCAACTGGTGCTAGTGGAGGACGATGGAGAAAGGCAGCCATTCGATCCACTCAATGATACATTTCCTGTTCGAGCAGCCCATGTGGGCATGCAACCCCAATAAGAAGCAGGTACAAATTGTAAAGGAATGTTGGGCGGACAAATGCTGGGAACTGCCAACATTTGCGTGGGGCACAATTGAACTTGATTGGGAATATTTGTTATGCAAGCCTGGCCAGAGGAGTACTGAGCTGCAGCCATGGAAGCAGCATTATTCCAAGCTGGATTCCAAGGTAAAACCCATGAAGGAACAGAATAACAATGCAGAGAATTTGGTGCACTGAGGTCGTTAGAAGATGCTGGCAAATCAACTTGCTCCTTCTGCATAATATTTTCAGGCAATTCGTTTGCCCGAGCATTGGAAGCAGTCTGAGAGGATCCACAAGAGGATGGCTCCTCTACGTTATCTTGACAATTGACAGAACTAATCTCAACATATCTTTTTTGGTCTCCAAGATTAAGCAGAGTCTCCATGGAATCACAAAGAGGTGCTTCAGGACCAAACTTTAGAACCATTCCATTTGCCGCTGAGGGACTTAAGGTGGTTGCAGAATCAACAGATGATGGAAGTTGGTGACTAATTGAGTCTGAATTTTCCATACTGGCAATAGGCATCCCATCAGAAGATACTAACAACTGACGATATTGAGTAGCTAAGTGCTTATTCTTCCGCCGGCCAGCACCAATAGGGACATTTCTCATTGTTCCTCCAGCTGTCCAATATCTTTGGCAATTCTTGCAGAAATGCCTCGGTTGGTTAACGTTGTAGTTATTAAAGTAACAGAATTTTGTGTCTAAACTGTTGCATCGTGGACACAGGAGAATTTTATCTGGTTTCTTGAAGACTTTCTCTTGGTCTGTGCCATTAGTCTCTAGCGGACCTTCATTAGGCTTAGCAATTACTTGTGCCTCATTCACTCGTGTTGCAGCTTGGCTCTCTTCCTTACCTTGCCTTGAAGCAGAGTGTGTTTCAGGTTCTTCTGAGTTGTCTTCACCAGGAACCTGAATTTCTACTTTTGTTATCTCACTGCAGCTGCCCTGATATTAAACAAAAACCATTAGACTCGAAATAGAAATAAATATTTAGAAGAGAAAAAATAGAATAGCAGAGATGAAATAAAATTAAAGGACCAATATATCTTCACCATGTTATGAATAAGAGGAGTAGCTTCATGTTAAAAGAACTTAAATAAGATTAGAGAGAACCAAAAAAAAAATTATGATTTGGTTCACTTCCAAATGAGATTAATGGATTTCTTCAACTTTCCTGCTTCTTTCTTATCTTCTTCCATTATATTAGTATCATTAAAAAAAAAAAAAGCGTGCCTTGAAGTGATCATGCTCAGCCACCAAATATGCAGTTACCACATTCAAGCATGATTCAGGAACAAGAAAATTTATAATGAAAAAGGAAACTTTTGACAGAGTAGAAAGAAAGAGAAAGAAAGTTGAACATCAACCTGCTTTAAACTTTTTAAGAAAAAATAATTAAGCACTTGGGAGTATGATTGCCATGATTAAATCACTTTTGATACAACACAAGAAAAACTATGATGAACTATTCCTTTTTAGCCCCACTACCCATCAACTGGAAACCAAAATCACATGACCTATTCTGATCACAAAAATATGTATTTGAACTTGTTAGTCTAGAAATTCAAATTTTCCAACGAAACTAGAATCAAATATGAAAATATTTCAGAATTTAATTCAAATGAACAAGGACGAAAAAATGCAACATACAACCTATTTTCACAAAGCTTTTCTCATTATAAAAGAAGAAAAGCAGAAATAGTTCACAATAAAAACAGAAATGAAAGTACTCATTTGAAATAAGATGTTCACCGTCCAGCCAACATCACACGAACATAAAAATTGCCAATTAACTTGAATTTCATACATAAAAAATATGTGTGTGTGTGTATTCTCGGCCCAATTTTTTTCCAAAAATTCAAAGTTACAGTCACTACCGTTCCTCCAACAAGCAAATGCTTTCTAAATAATAAGCAAATGGAAAGACAAAAACAAAGAAAGAAAGGAAGTTTCATGTTTCAACAACAGAGGAAATAGAACATGCCACAGACACCACGTTTGAACACTATTTTCCATTATAAAAGTTTCTACAAACAACACATGACATCCTTTACTTTTAACTAAAAGGCTTACAACAACTTAAGTCCCAAAGACCTTCAGTATTTCCCATCCAAAAATGGCCTTCACTTTTTTTATGCCAATGTTTACTTAACCAAAAACCAATAACATGAAACAACACAGTGCAGTGTCTATAACATTAATTTCAAGATTCATTAAAGTTCAACCCAGTATTTCTTGTATCAAGTAGACCAAAACACAGCCTAAACATCATATTAGTTCAAAAACCAATACAAAACCAACAACCTATATAAAATCTAAAGACTTTCAGCTAGAAAACTTAACTAAAACCCCCACTTCAAACCAAAAAGAAAAAGAAAAGAAAGAAAGAAACATACAAAATGGGTATTTTCATTATATACATACATATATATCAGTGGAAGTAATTACCTTGGCTAGTGGTTCGGCCGGAAACTGAGTATCAGGTACCGGAATCTTTCTACCAAAGAGCTTGAAAGCTGGATCTTTGGACTCACCCTTCATTGTTTCTTTGTTGTATCAAAATAAAAGTTGCAAACTTTGGAGAGTGACACCAAAACCCATATAGAAATTAGTACTACAACATAAAGCAAAACGAATGTTAAAAAAGATTGAGAAAGAGAAAGAGAAAGAGAGGGAAAAGATAGGCTTTTTTTCTCTTTTATTTTCTCTTTAGAGGGTAAAAGCTTTATAAAGTTAAGTAGCCTCTCCCTCTATCTATCACTAAAAAACCCACAAAACCCTCTCAAAGTTAACATACTTACAGCAAGTCTCCACCCTGAAAAAGTCCCAGATGATAAAGCATAAAGAACGTGAAGGATCAGAAGTTTTATTTTTTTGAGAAAAAAAAAACTTTTTTGTCCCTTTTTTTGTCCCTTTTTTTTTCAAGATATTCAATTTGTTTACTATTATTTTCCAAGTTTAGTTGGTTGAGAGAAATGAGAAAAGGCTGTCATGATAGTCTCTGTGATCTCCTTAAATTTACCACCTGTATTATTTATGTCAGCTTAAAAATGATAGGGTGTTGCATTATTTTATGTATAAGTTAAGAGAATAAAGTATTACAAGTTGTCTTATAGATTACGTGCTTTGAGTTTATCTATAGATTCTTGAAACTAATGTTCAAGTGCTCCTAAAATTGGATAATAGCTGATTCTTCTTTTCATTTATCCTTTTAATATTATTTTCATTAAATCTTTTTTTCTTTTTAACAAAACGATATATCTATATAATATTAGACAAAAAGAAAAAAAAAACTTAGTGTCTTTTACATGACATTTAAAGAGTCTTTACACGATCAAAATTAAAACTTAAAAATATACATAAATAAAAATAAACCAATCATAAAGAGTGATTGAAGAATAATATTTCATACATAGGGATACAGTTTATAATCAAATTATTTGTTGCTACGTGAATAATCTTAACGTTTTTAGTTTGAATTGATTTATAAATTTTATTTTATTTTCAATTTCAAATAAATAAATTTCAGATATAAATCATATAATAATTTTGAAATTCAATCTCAAAACAATACTTCCGTCAAACTTCTTTATATAATTCCAAAAACTACAAAAGAAATTTAAAAAAATAATAATAATAAGTGATATACTAACAGGAAAAGCGTAAGAATACAAAGGAAATGGAATTCGGCGACAGTTGGCATCCAAGTCAGCTAGGCTGGTGACATATTGACCAAGAGAAGTAGTGGCTAAGGATGGAGCTGACGCAAGAAAGAAAGACAAAAAGCAAAAAAGCAAAAAGGCCTTTTTTGTGGGCCAGCTTAAAAAATAAAAAAATAAAAAAAGCAACAATAAGTTACAAAAGACTCCTCTGCTAGGGCACTCGCTTTTTACGCCGCCTTCAATGTCTTTGCCAGTTTGCTCCTCTTAGGTCCCTATGCCCTACACCTTAAAACAGGAAAAATAAAAAACAGAAAATAGCTGCTGTTTTTCTCTTTTTTTCCCCTTTTCTTTATATTTTAATAAAACCGATAGGATAATGTAGCAAGAAAACTGCAGAAAGTGGGATAAATTGGTCATGTTGGGTGACAAGTACTACCGAATGGGTCCAATTCCGTGCAATTTGCATGCAAATTGGGTCGGTTCAGTGTTCGATTAGGCAAACCACAATATCTTAACACTAGCTTAGCTAGCAAATTCATGCGTTAATAGATTAAGTGCTTGTCAAAAATCACCCGTTGTTTTTAACTGTTATTTCTTTAAAAAAAAAAAAAACAATGTTTGATTAATATCCACTTTAATTTAAGACCAAATCAAATATCATCTAAAAAAAACTACTTCGTTTTTTAAATAAAATGGGTTCTCTCTCCTATCAATCAAAAACACAACTGGTTACTGTGAGGTCTATTTTTTAATTAAAATTACAATTTTTTCATTAATATTTTTTAAAATTATATATATATATATATATAATTTTGTTGTATCATCCTAGTTTTTTCGGAAAGAAATTTGCTAGTAGTGACATAGTGCTGTTTTGATTTAAGATGCGATAAAGTGAAAATATAAACGTTCGGAAGATGGAATGCCGATAAAATTTCTATGAAGTTGGGTTGAATGTAGTTTATGCAGTGATGTATTTCCAATTGAATGGAAACTTTTTGTTTTTAATCTGTGGGTTTTCGACTGTTAATTGTTGTAGATTTTGATTTGTTTTTTCTACCTGGGTTTTACAAGAACATAAGCAGCAATCAAACAAAAACAGAGAGAAGGTTAGTGACGGTCGCCATGGCTGACCAGTGATGGTAAGAAGATGAAATTAAGAGTTTTTTTTATTATCGAATTATTATTATTTTTTTTTCTTTTCGTCTTCAGAAGAATCATGTGACTAGGAGAAGTACATTTGCCATTATGTTAAAAAGCACACGACTGTATGTGGTGTCAAACCTGCCAAATGGATGGACCCTTTTTGGAAGAATAATGTTGCTGACCAAAAAACATAGGTTCAAGATCCAAATTAGGAAAAAAAAAATTAGAGACTAATTTTCTGTTGAAGGATAGTTGAAAGGAGTTTTTAACCAATCGGTCTAAATGAAATGTATTTATTTAAATTTTTGAATATATTCTTCATTGACCATTTTATATCTCAAAAACATAACAATATAGTTTAATAATATTTGATTGTTTTAAACATTTACAAATACAACATAGTAAATAGCAAACAAATTTTACTTTTATCTTATAGTACGACATAACACAATAATGCCAAACAAGTCCTAACTGTATGTGATAAGTTTCCTGATTTCACAATAATTTAATACTCTATCTATAATCTACATTAATTTAATACTCAATCTATAATCTATATCATAAATGAAAACAGATATTGTGAGCAGGGCGTATGGCTACCAAGTATCGAGTTTTTTTTTTTAAAAAAAAAAAAAAAAAAAAAAAAAAACAGGGTACTTCTATATCTTTATTCCCATAATAAGCTAGTTTTAATTTATTTACTATATAATAAGAAGGTAGTTCATGCCACCTAAACTCTATTATGAATCCATGTCATTATTTTTCTTAATTATTAACCTAAGTGAAAGAGAAAATAAAAAAAATACCAAACAAGGAAAGAAATATATCACACTTAATATTTCTATTCTTCCTTTTTTTATGTTTCCATCTAAATTTATATTTCCTAATATATATATACAAAAAATAGCTTCTTTTAATATATATTCTATAACATTCGCATTCATGATTTAAAAGTTTATGGGGAACAACTTCTCAAGATTTAGAGTTTTTCACGGACATTCAATAACATAAGTCATATATATATGGTTAAAACATGTGCATTTTAATAATAAAAATCACATAATTTGTTATGTCCTACGAACATTAAAAATTTACTATAGTTAAGTAAGCCACCAAGAAATTATTTTTTTTTTCAATTTTGTCTAAATTGGGTTGTATCTTGCGATATTTAGAATAGCTTAAGAATAGTTCTTAATTATGAAATGTGATATTTATTATTTTTACACTGTTTTTTACCAATAATTTTTACACTATTTGATGCATTTTAGGAGAATCCATTAAGAGAGGAAAAAAAAAACTGTTGAATTTGTTACTGAATTCATCAATCACATCTACAATCTACTCGTATTTTTATATTTTTTCTAAATGGATTTTAAAAAAACAATTGACGTATTTAATATTAGAAAAATTAAAAAGCAATTTGATGTCAACAAAATAATTTTAAAACTCTTTTTAAAAATTGTATAAAGATTATAGATTTATAGTGTGGTTATCGAAACTAAATTGGGATGATATTTTTAACGACGTAAAATAGATTTTTTTTTTTTTTTTAAGAAAGTTGTAAAAAGAATTTAGTTGGAGAAAGAGAATATAAATACAGAAAGAGTAAAAAATATGGAAGAAAGAGAAAAAAAAATCATGTGCTTCTCTCTCCACTTCATTATTTAGTTTTCTAAGTCACAAATTTGAAAATATATATTTTAATGATATGTACAAGTGATGAAATCCATATGGCATAAAATACTCTATTGCAAAATAAAGTAAAACTATCCTATTTTGGGAAAAAAAGGTTTAAACTACCTTGTTTTAAGAAAGAAAATACTCTACCAAGTATAGTGCTGATATGGATTTTTTTTTTTTCAGCTATGTGATGATAAAACCAATCATTAATTGCCATATGTATTCAATATTTCAATACCCAAATAATGTAAAGACATATGTATTTTTTTATTTGTATATTATATTTAAAAATTGCATTTATAGATAAATTAACAGATTTTTCTAATCAAAGACTTCTAATGAAGATTTTTCATGACATATTTGCTATTAATTATTTTTTATTTAAACCAAATAAAAGATTATATTATAAGCTTTATATTAAGATGTATATTGCATATTTATTACTAAAGATATGTTTAGTTTTGGGGTAAATGGGATGAAAAGTCACCCTTATAATTTTTCATCCTTGTGTTTGATACAAGTTTGGAGAAAGTGAAATTTTCAAGGAGATTAACATTTAACCCCGCTTGTTTTATATTTAACATTGTTTAGTGTTCATTATATTTGAAAAAAAATTGATAAAATTAAAAGATTTATACTCAATCAATAATAGAATAAACGTTAGGAGTTAAATTGAAGTTTCTCCATGAATTAAATTTTTATTTAGACCCTTATAGTCTTTTCAATTAAGTCATTCCTTAATAAGAAAAATGAAAAATAATTGGTAAAGGTAATGTTACTAACTGTGAAGACAAATACAACGATTGTGAGGTGATTATTCTAATTGCAGTTATGTTGGTCACAAGGTGATAAAGGTTGATGGAGCAATAGTGAGGTGGTCGTAGCAACAGTTATAAGGCCGTCATGATAACAGTGGTTATATTAGTTATAATTGTTAGTGGCCGTGACCACGCTGGTTCTGGTTGCAACGATGGTTAATTAAGATGGCCATGTTAGAAATAAGATATTATTAGCTATTTTGATATATATTATGAGTTTTTCATTATTATTATTATT